TACCATATTGAAAAATATACTATTTTTGTATGATAATTATGGGTTTTGTATTTTATTTTAATAGAAGTTGATGTTGCTTTTGCAATTATCCATCAATTTTTTAAAATTAAACACTATCTACAGATTTGCATCGAAGCGTTTCTTATGATAGTGATTTTAATCACTGTCAGATTAAATCTATACTGGACCCTACTATGCAATGTCTCCACTATTTTTTTTAATATTAATTTAAATTTAAATTTACAGTGTGCCACTTATAATAACCTGCTAAATTTTTTTTTAATTATTCTATAATATAAACACAATTATTATAATTGGATTATTAATAATTTTTGTGTATAACAGTGGTGTATTTAAGAGAGATTTGCTCCTCCTTGATCAAGCGCTATCAATATTTTTTTAGGCAACTTCTAATATATAAGGACCTAATGTCCTTTTTTTTCATCATTACTTTAATCTTGGCAAAAAAATTTCTATAACATGTTTAACAAAGTAAAAAGTATTAAATTTCCTCCTAAAATAATTTTTGAATAGGCCTTAAGGGAATACCTCATTAAGAGGCTTCAACCTTATACCCAATACATTTTACTATATTCTCTTTTTGAATTTTCTTGATTTTAATAATAACATTTTTAGATATAGTTTTCACTGATTCTGAAGTAATATTTTTTCTGAAAAACACTTATCGTGCCCGGCGTAGCTGGGTACTTCTACCGGAATCAGTGGCCTACTTATGATGACGGCCCGTAGGCGCATAAGGCTCGAAGGGCCCCGGGTCTGGAGCGGAGCCCCAGCTAGGCGAAGCCTAGTAGGAATATATATTAGTACTACTATAAATATCAAATTGTATGTATATATTTTGGTTTGGTTTTATAATTTTCCGATGAGTTCTGTTTTTAATTTTTTTTTTAAGTTAAACAATCTCGATATATCTTATTAATAAGGTCCTAAAAGTGTAGAAATTATTTTTTCTCTTGTATGAATCTGAAAAATTGATATTGTAACTCCAAAAATAAGGCACACAGACTAAATCAAACCCAACCGGATTATTTATGTTTGCTTCACCATAATTAAAACTATTGTTTCCATCAATTTTTATCAACATACATTGATATAACTTTTAACTCAAAATACTTAAAACTATGAAACAAATAATTACCTAATTTTTTAGTAATGTATAATTCGTGGAATTACAGTTATTAAGAAAGTTATTGAGATTTTAAAATTTTAATGACACCACTTAATTTTTATTAATTATATATATATATATATATATATATATAT